CTGTACAACAGTAATATTCATAAAAAACAGCTGTCTGGGATCAAATATTCCGAATTATGAATAAAGTAGAGTAGTCGTAACCTTTCTGTAGCATACAACTGATAAATCTCTTCTGCATAACCTCGAGAATGTAGATGAGTTTTCGACATTCCACCCCAATCAGTTATACCATATCTCAGATGGGGCTCAAATAAACTCTTATATAACATAATTTTCTGTTTTTGATTGAGTATGTTTGCTATTCGTTTTAATTTGTAAAGTATGCAACGTAATTTTTTAACTAGATATATGATCTGTGTTGGTCCCATCTGAGATTGCTGTCTAAAATTATTCCAAGACATTTTATTTTCTTTGTGGGTTTGACGACTTTCATATTGGAGATTTTGATGTCATATTCTGGTAGAGAGTTGTCATAACTACTGAATGGTAATAGGTTTCCTCAAAGTTAATGGATAAGAGCCTGTGGTCGAACCACAACTTGATTTGATGAAGGTCATGTTCTAATTTGTTTCAAATTGAACCAGTTTTTGTTTTCGCAAAACAACACAATATCATCAGCAAAACTCAGAATGATCTCCACCTACAGAAATGAAATAATGGTTGAAACTATTTGCTATTTGAACCGGGTCCTTGACGAGTTCGTTATTTTTTGTTTTTATCAAGTGTAGGTGTAGGATCTTGGTCAGTTAATATTTCATTTGCAGTTTGCCACTTTTTTTTTGAATCATTACCCCAATTTTTAATACGATTCCTATAGTACCTATTCATTTTTTGTTTCCCTAATTAGCTTATCTAATATTTTCTTATGAGCCTGATATTCTTCATGTAAAACGGTATTATTTGGATTTTTTCTAAGTTTTCAATACATGCTATTTTTTGTTTACAGAATTAATCAAGCATCCAGTTATCCATTTCTTTCGCATTCTTTTTTTGTTGTTCAGTTTGATGTACCTCGTACATTCTTCTAAATTAGTTTTTATGATATCAATGAACTCGTTCACTTCACGATTAAGAAACAAACAGGCGGAAATGGACTTACGCCCGTTTGTCGTATTACACTATATGAAGGAAAAAGTTACGCCCGTTCCGTCATCTGTTTATTGACAACATAACCTCAAATGAAAACGCTACTTGTTGCTTACCGAATCGGGCATGTGTTCATTCGTGATTTTTAGTATTCTGTGGATAGTGTTTCATTACTAAGGTATGTTATTATTGTTACTACTGTGCATCAATATTACTTATTCGGTTTTTATTACAGATTAACTATCAAAAATCGTCAGTTCAAAATAAAGTGGTGGTTGTTAATTTTTAATAGCCTCTTGGTAGCTTCTCTTTAGTAAGGTATGCTATTATTATTACTATGGTACATTATTATTACTTATTAAGCTTTAATTTCAGATTAAACATTAAAAATAGTCAGCATGGATGTTGTCGTAAAATGGAATGACGGTACTGAAAATACTGTTTTGTCGAATCAAATTCAGTTGGTAAATAGATCTGATTCGTTAAAGAAGGGGGCAAAAGTTAAAATGTATTAGAAACCAGAGAAGAAGTGGTACTTTGGTGTAGTGATTGAATTCAAAAATGAATGTTATTCTAGCAGCGATAGTGAATAGGATATTCCCTTAAAAATGCTACGTAAGGATTCCCAAAGTATCAGCGAAGACGATATCCCTCTTCAGCTTTGAAAGCAAAAATTTGCCCCAACAGCAGCTTGCCAAATAAGTACACCCGTAATGATAATGGATAAACTAGATATTAATAATGCACCCAATATCCAGGCAGATCAAACAAATGTGACAGGTCTTCAAACTATCCAAATAAATCAATTTGAAGAGCATACCAGTGACAAACTTGATGTTAGTGATAGTGAGGAACCGCCTATATTCCAAGATAATTCGGATGACGATCCAACATATATTCAAACATGCGAATTAGAGCTTTGTAAGAAAGAAGTTTTCAGTGCATATCCAAATTATTCGAAGTTATTATGCTGGAATCATTTTTCTAACGACGAGTCTTGCGACTGTGGCGGCGTTGTACCCAAGATCAGTGCACCGAAAAAAATTGACGACGTTCCAGAAAACTACTGTGTGGAAGGAAATTCTTGTGAAAACGAAACAGATCTAGTTTTGAAAAAGAAGGAAAACACAAAAATAGCTGCTACGAAAAAGCGAAATTTGGGTGAAAACTACGTTAGTTCCAAAAGTAAAAGTAATGCCGGCAAGGAAAGTTTTGAGAGCTAGGTGCAACGGTATTACTTGTTCAAAAGTAGGGAAAAAATGTGTGCTGTTTACAGAAGAGGACAGAACGAACATGTTAAATGATTTTTACGGTACTGCGTCCATGCAGCTACAAAGAGAATATATTGCTCGTTTTGTAAAACGTTTGAATACCAAGCAAAAAACAATAATCGACCAAGATTCAAGGCGACATAAAAGTAACTTTTATTTTTTACCAAAAGATGATTTACAGATAGCCGTATGCAAGAAAATGTTTTTGAGTACTTTGGGAATTTCAGAAAAGGTAATGCGCACATCTTCAACTAAGGTTGGGCAAACAGGAGTTATTGAAAAAGATGGAAGGGGAGGCAGGCCAGTAAATTTGAAAGACAAGGACGAAGAAATTGAAAATTCAATACTGGAACACATAAAGAAATTTCCGAGAATGGAGTCGCACTACTGCAGACAAAGTTCCACTCGTGAATACTTGCATGCAGACCTTACTGTCAGGAAAATGTATGATATGTTTATCAATGAACATGGAGGTGGAAAAGATAACCAATGCAGCTACTCTCTTTATCTTAATGTGTTTGAGAGTTTAAGATTATCTTTCCGCCATCCTAAAAAAGACCATTGTGGCCTATGTTTTACATAAAGACAGGGCACCATTGAAAAAAAAGCAGAATTAGAACAAAGTTACCGACAGCACATAGCAGAAAAAGAAAAGGTTCGTGAAATAAAAAAGGAAGAGAAAGCCAATCCTGACAGCTTAAAGGTATGTGCTGTTTTTGATTTGCAGCAGGTTATTTTTTTACCAATTACTAATGAAAGCAAACTCTTTTATCGTCGAAGACTGGCAAACTATAACTTCACTATCTATGAAGTTAAAACTAAATTGAAATTTTGAGATACGCCTCTTCGTTTTGTTAACTTCGATATCCAGGATTGGCACATTACAGGGCATTTATACATCCGTTGAAGTATGTTATCAAACAATTGTTAGATAAGAGCAAGGATGACCTATCCTTGAACAACAAAATCAATAAAAAATGCTTGGGGAGGTTATTGATTGATTGTTACCTCAACTGGGACAAACATATTGAGTTTCTTTGCACTGAAATGGTTAAAACGATATATGCTCTGAAAATTGCTAAAAATTGACATTTTATCGCTCCCACTTTCCGACAGTGCGATATAAAGAGCATTTTAGGGCCGTGATATTTCATATATTTCTTCAAGTTTGAGGTCATGAAGTAATTTTGTTTGCAATAATTCGAATTTTTTTGCCATTAACATTTTTCATTTCTACATATTATTGACAATTTACTTCTTGTTCAGAGCCACTATCATTGATTTATTTCTTTTCTATGCGGTAACAAAACAATAACAGAAAAAAAATAGAAATCCAAACCGAAAAAAGCATATCTCTTGATGACCTCTAAGAAAGTCAGAATTATTTGAACAATGTTGAAAACACAGTAAAAACTCTATTCATTATAACCTAAGAGAACTGATTTCCGTTGACGACTTAGAAAACCCAAAATGTTGAAATCGCAGTTTTAAGAGTTTAATCTAAAGTGAATTAAATTTTTCAGGCCACAAGTTCCCGACAAAAGTGTTAAAAACATCTTCGAATTATTAACAGCTCTATCATACTCCCAAATAGATAGGAGAGATTTATAATGTTTCAGAAAAGTTGAATAAATTATTTGATCATCGTGGAAATTATATTGAAATCAAATTAATTAATTTAGAAAGAAATTATTTTTATCATTTTGAAATCTAATATTTTATCAATAGATAGCTCTAACTGTCGCATAACATAAACTTTTTTGAAATTGTGTATCTGATGTTTCAAAACAAAAATCCGTTTGAATAAATCTTAAGGTATACATTTCTTGCTGTTGAAACGTAATAAATGATGGTAAGTTCGCATCACACCATTCGATAACTTTTAAGAGATTCCTTTTCCCAAATGAGTTTGTAAAGAATTCATTATTGTATCACAGTAAAGATGTGTTATCTGCAAAAATTGAGTAATTGTTCCTTCTTTATTAGTCGAATTCAGTATCAATTATATTAGGATACATGTTAGATTCAGTTGATTTCATCAAAAATTCTACTAATAATAATACATTAGAATTGTTTACTTAATAACTGCAGAATGCACCACCAAAAATAAGTATCATCGTCGTTTTACATTATAACATTCACTAATGAAAAGGCAACTTCTTATAAAGGTGAGTTCCTTGGGAATATGTGATTTTAAAAATACTCATACCTTTTGCAAGTGCCAAGTAAGCTGAAGTTCCAACTGAAATAATGAGGTGTTTTTCCACTGAGGGGCTTGCAAGACAAAACCAACATTTACTTTGATCGAATTCAATTCTGGGTTTCTTATTATTTTTTTTAGTACTTTTACTTGCATTGTTTGAGGCATTCATATCATAAAAATACTGACTGGGCCCTGAATATTTCCTTTTGCTGTTGAAAACTGAAATAGAAAGTGATGTTACTGAAAACTTAAAAACTAAATGTAACTACAGACACCTGATGTTTTACTGAAATGTCAACTAACTTTTACTTTCCAAATCATAGAAATTGAAGGGACAAAGTGTCTCGTCTACTGTCTTCTGTAATAGTTCACTCAGTTTCATTTTGTCTAGTGGTGTCAGACTCAGTGCATATATCCATTTTTGTTTATTTGCATTACTGACCCTTGCCAGTGCTATGAATCGAGAAACAGTTTCCATGGTAACATCATGATCTCCCAAATTCGGACATCTGAAAGGTGGCCTTTCATAAAATACGCCTTCGATGCCACTGATAATGTACCTCGGTTTGAGTTTCATACACAGATAACTAGGTAGATCACTGGTGGCTTTCACTGATAATGAAACCTTCAATAAAATAATTTAAAATTACCAATAAACAACATGGCATCAAAGTAAAACAGTTCAGAAAAAATATGACATTCCAAAATTAATAACAATAACTCAATTATTAACACTTTGAGTGCCCCTATCTAGAATATGTGCCATGAGAATTATTTGTATGAATCTCTTGGCTCTCACAGATCAACGTCCAAACTACAAAAAAAAACTCTCCTCAACAGGAAGACTCAACAATTTGTCTCTGGTTTGGATAGCGGGCTACTCTGGCCTGCAAGATGATTGCTTACTCCCTTGCAAGGGAGCAAGCGGTTCCATTAGAACAGAACCTGTCAGTGGCACTGCTCTAGGCTTTTCCACACTGAATACCAAACTTCCCTAACTGGAAAATGATAAAACAACAGAGCACATCAGCGCAAGCACAAATGCTTGCGCTGCCTGCAGACCAAATCAGGTTTTTAGCAAGTGGAAGAGTTTTACATTTACCATCTAACCTGAAAGATCATTCACAAAATGATCTAATTTTGTTTATTTCAATTTGGTTTGGAGTTTGCTTTTATAAAACAGGAAAAAATGAATGAGAATCTACCTGGAGGTTCAAAGCCTTAAAGGCAAAAATACAATAAAAATTCTACAAATGTAACATTCAGCAATACTTATGAAAGTATATAACTTACATCGCAAATACTCTGAAAATAAAATCAGTTTATATGCATTTCATACACAAGTGGAAATAATAAAAAAACCTGTTCCCTCACTACAATAGAAAAAAAAACAACAAAAAGGGGCAAAATTGCCCTCAAGTTTTGTGATATTATTATTATTATTCATAGGATTTCTGTACGAGTCATGAAAAATAAAAAACATATTATTTTGCATAGCAAATATCTTGGCCGATCAGCACTAACCAATTTTTTTTTGAAAAATTCATATATAAAAACACGGCCGGAGTCACGATTAGAGAAAACACAATCCGGACTGGTAGGCTGTGGTCAAATAGAATTTGAAGAATAGAACTTGTACTACATGGTACAAGTTCCATTCAAACATGGCATTCCAGCCCGGATTTTGTTTTCTCTGAAAGTCAAATATTACATTATTCGTGTAAATTCGAAATGTAAGCAAGATATTTGACATAAAAAATAATAAATAGATACATTGCCATTCACTACAGTCAAGATATTAAAATTTTCAATTTTCACAAAGAAGAAAGCAATCCAAAAGGTTTATTTCAAATCTTTGTATTTGATATTATTACCTCTTTTGAATCCCCGGCAATAATATTAGATGGCCACTGAGATGACAGCAAAATATCTACACCTCTGAACGAAGGGTTTCCTTTGAGGCACACATCACAAAGTTCAGAAACTTCTTTTTCGGAATAAGTCCATGGTCCAACAGAGTCGGTCCCTGATAATCCACTTATATAAGCTATTTTGAGACCCTTGCTGTCTGTGTACACCCCACGTTTACCTAAATTTTTAATTGATATTTGAATTGATTGAAATTAGGAAGTTTTGTGAGAGTATACTGAGCAATTTATGAAGATATAATGAAAATGTACTATTTTCATTATATACTGGGTGAATACAGAGAAAGAAGGAAAGAATATACTATACACATATATTCAACCACAATATCTTGTCAATATTCTTCTTTACTACAGTAAAGACACGCCTGAAAGAGATATTGTAGCAAAACACGTTGCATTTTTGTAAAACTTTTTAATGAACATCCCACAAAGTGTTTCTTGAATATACAATAATCATGGATTATAACCGTAAACAACCATTAATGAATAATGAGTTTGTTTTATCTGATGTAAATAACATCCCAAACACTCAGTCTTCATTGCAGTCTTCATTGGAGCAGCGAAAAGAAGTATAGGTACCGATCTCTCTGAACACAAGAGAAATTTCACAAACTACACCTAAACGATTTGATCTCCACAAACTTTATTGAAAATATATCACAACATGTTTCGCTAAACATTAGCTTTTTCAAGTGATTCCTTGGATTAATCAGGCATAAAAACCTACAGACCACGGCCACAAAATCCATAAAATAGCTTTGAAACACTTATCTCCGGCCGTGAAAGTTCACACTTTTTGATCAATAATTCAAGTTATTCTGAAAATGCCGGTTGGAAACCAAAAAATTTTTTAAAATGTTTTAAAACCACAGAATGAAAAAACATTGCTTCATACAACAAACTTATTAATAAAAATTGTGGAATGACCTTGTATGTTCAATGTAGATATTGTTGTAAATCGTATCCTAAAGAAAATAACGCCGGCCGCCACTGTTAGCTATAAACCAATTGTGACGTAGCGAAGAGCGCGCTCAGTTCGACAGACATTTCGCGGCTGTTCGCAACGAATCGAGGGAATTCCCGGCGAGTATTTTACAGACTTCGATGGAATTCCGAGGAACGTTCTAGAGCCTTCGATTGCCAGATACAAACGCCATCATCTCGCCCATCGGGACAGTCAAGTGGATTTAAAGTGTAGTACGCGAAGCGATCTATTAAGGCGATAGACGTTCGAATAATAGTTTAAATTTCAGTTCAAGTGTTTGTTGTATTTGAAGTGAAATAAAATTAAGTTTTATTATCGTTCAGTGTAGTTAATAATTGGTAAACCTAAGGGGGAAAAACGTAACAATATTATAAATAAATGAATAAATAACAAAACTGTAGATGTGCCAGATTTTTCAACTTATATCAGGGTCTATTTATTGAAGACAGAATACAAATATTCTACTTCTTTCAAGAAATTTCCTCTGAATTAAATTACATTTCTAATTCATTTCACATATCACCCCTATTTCTCCTCAAGCAATGTTCAGAAGTGTGCAAGAGAAATTTTAACTTAAACCCAATAAAGTACACGAATATATTCAAACCCTAATCAATCATTCAGTGGGTAGACCCCATTGAACAACAGCCTTCTCTGTTAATTTTCTAGATATTTTTTTCATCTTGAAAAATAATTCTGTTTTGGTATGCTAGAAATTCAGAATATAAAATTGAGATTAAAAGCGTTTATATTTTTATGAAAACGTTTCGTTATATATTTTAAGGGCGGACATTCATAACCTACCTAAATAATAAACGTTAGGGCACAATTCAAACTCAGATTCGTCTGAAGGATACTCTCTTAAATGATCTTCCTTATTTGGCCCCAAAATATATGTGATAACGGGAACTGAAAAATATGTTGAAATAACAGTGATCTCAATCATTGAAGAATACTACCTTTCTTATCACCAGTTTTATAAGGAATGAATTCCTTATTGTTGATTCCAAAAAAATTTCCAACGCATAACAACATGTCAAAAGGTCCTGATTTTTTTATGATAGCTTCAATTCGCTTGAAAAGAGCATCAAATTTTCCTTCCACATCACCACAAACCAAACTGAAAATCAAATGAGAGGAAAAAATGCAATTTATAAAAAATGTTGATAATGAAATCTCAACAGCCAAATAATTTCAAGAGCAATATAATCAGGAAAGTTTTCCATTATCCAACATCATTCTGAAGTTTTCAAAGAGTATTGACTATTAACGTGAAATTTTATAATAAAGGCTTAAACTAAGGGGAAGGACCTAGCGCCAAAAATTGTTTCTAGTCATTTGGCATTCTTAATAACGGGCCAAAAAGTACACAAAAATGTTTTGGATAAATGCTTTTCAAGTTATTCAATCAAACATTAACTTATTTTTCAACTGATATTTAATGGTACTAAGAATTTCACACATTTTTCTCTATACTTACATCAAATATATAATGTGAGTCAAATACTTTCTTGAACTAACAACTGATTCAACCTGATTAATAACCACGAAAATTATAGTTTTCGGCATAGAGCATGTGCTTCATAGTTTTTGAGGGTTGTCATTATTATCTGAATGAACTGAATATTATCAAAATCAAAGTAATAACATAGATCATGATGATGTTCAGGCAAAACCGTTCTACCAGACTACGACAAATCCCTGATCCCATATTTTTGCTGTTTCATTTTAGACTCTGAAATCTGTAATTGTTGCCCAAAACAGAATTTTGAAATTATTTCTCATTGTCTCATTTTTGCCAGTATTCTGAAACATCTAGTAATGAGAGATTATATAAAAAATATGCGCAAGCATACAAATATGAATAGAGATTTCTCCAGAAACCCATCAGAATTATATAATTTCTTTTTGAATCTTCTGAAGAAATATGCTAATGAACTCTGTTACCTTTTGACTCATCTTAAAAATGAACTGCTTACTCCTATATTTAAAAAAGTGACTATAATAAGTATCATTTGTTTAAACTTAACATGGGATTTCAGATTTTATAATTTTTCAATTTCAATAAACTTTTCAACTTGGTTTCGCTCAAAACAAAAGCACTAAAACTGTTGTGTATGACTTTATTGAACACATAATATTGACTTTGGATAATAAATTACAAATATTGGACTAATCATAAATTTTTCCAGGGCTCTTGATTGTGTGAATCATAATCTACTCATTCTAAAAATGCAACGAGAGGTTGCCTTCATATCTAGGACACAGGTCACAAAGAGTTAATGAAATGTTTATAGCGAGTGCACAGTAATTAATGAAATTGGCCCACAGGGATCCATACTTCGTCCACTACTATTTTTGAAATTTGAAAATGACCTGATATATTATCTTCAGTCCCTCAGGAGTACACTTTGCTGCATAAGATATAAACAGCATCACTGTTCAAAGCAAAAGTTGAAACAACAGAGACATTGTATGACAGAGTGATATGAGCCATAAAACAAGTCTATACTTTTCAACAAGAGAAATGAATATTATTATCAATTATTCGAAATTTGAATTATCTAAAATTGAAAGGGTATATTTGAATTACCTATTATGTGATGGTCATGAGAAAACTCGCATTTGACTTGCCATTTTTATTCTGCCACATGGATGACATTCTAAAATCTGAGCCTCAAAACAGACTGACTCCTATTTAAATTGAAAGGGTATATTTTTCAGTGTTTGGTACTGAAGAGCCTATAAGGCAAGTGTCTTACGGCGAAACATTGGATGTGTACCAGTGTTCCATGTAAGTGAAATTTTACTTCTTTCATTTATTATATTGTGTAGGAATTCTGTGAATGATATCTGATTCAATTCCATTACGAAAAGAACAATTCTAATAATTGAAGGAATTTATCAAAAGTTTGGAAGATGCCCTTGTCCGAACATCATGATCTAGGTCGTCACTTTGATTCTAATAATGTTCAGTTACTAAATTATCACGTCAATCTTTACAAAAATATGATCAACAGACATTTGAATATTAAATTAGTCAGCAAGTACAACAATTAATTGAGAACTGCCATGTGATAAACTGATTTTGCTGCTGATTATGTTATATAAGTGAATTGATGATCAAATTCTCGACTATTTATTTTAATTAAACAGTTTTCATTATTGATATACCTACATATTAAAAATTCTGGATATTTTATGAATGTTATTGTTGCTCCAGATTATGGTATATAAGTGAATTGATGATCAAAGTCTCGACTATTTATTTTAATAAAGTTTTCATTACATTGATATACATATTACAAATTCTGGATATTTTATAAATGTTATTGTTGCTACAGCAATTTCACTATTACTCTTTTGATTCAATTTTATTTACATAATTCTAATCAATTGTCATTAATTATAAAGGGAAAATGCATTGTCACAATGCACCAGACCGTCAGACTTGGTCATTTCTACTAAGATATACTCTAGAGCTGAGTTTTTCAGAACAATAATATCTATAGGAAATCTGCATTGCGTCAAATACCTTTAATAAATAGAAAGACAATAAAGCTATCTATTGAATGCAGTTTTAATAAATAGAGGTAGTCAATAGTGTTGAGTCTTTACAATTTTTACTAGTCCACAAAATGATTTATTCGAAAATGATAAAAATAATATCAAAAGGCATAATCGGAACAAATGGGCAAGTCATTATTTTTGATGATATAGTTAATGCCAAAGATTATTTTATTCAATTTACTGAATATAAAAATGTATTGAGCTTCTCTCCTTATGTGAAAAGTGATACATTCTTATAAAAAACTGTCAAAGTGAGAAGTTTTTACCCAGTTTCCGAAAAAGCTCTTTGGGTGTTTCAAAATTTTTGCCAATTACTAAACTAGGAAAAATATATCAACTTACATTTTCTGTTTGTCAGTCATTTCTCTCACCAATAGTACAAAGTTCTTATCTACAACATTACTGTTATAGGTACCTTCTTCGGACAATAATTTTTTAATATTTTTATTTTTCTGAATAAAACGAAAATGATAACCCTAAATCATACAATATAATGCATTAGGTTTGTTCTGGTTCTTCTTCTGTTTATGGTCATTGCTTCCTCAATCAGGCGCATTTGACCTATTACATAATATAATAGGAGCTTCGTCGGGGGGTACAGTCTGATTTGCTCGAAGCAATACCGTACCCTATACGTAACATCACTTGTTGTCTGCTATCAACTTGTCAGAAGTTTTCGTGTGGATAATTATTCATCACTTTTTGAGATTCACTATTACGGTCTATTATATTCCTTCTTTTGTGCGAAAAGGTAGGTTGTTGGAAAATGGTACAATGAACACAACAAATGATCTATGGAAGGATGAGAGACAGAATAGCAGTACCCTTTTCCCATTTTACAATTTAATGTCATTATGTTTCATGAAGTGACTCATTATTTTTATATTAGATACATTTAAATTCCCTAGTACTATAAACATGTCCAAAGGAGCTGTAATGCCTGTATTAACGAATTTTTGGTATATATTATATTCAGGAATAACGTTGATAGGACATTCTAAAAAATATGGTTAATAGTTTCAATTCGACCACATTCACAGTAAGGGGCGGAAACCACTCCAATACGATACAAATGTGATTTACTCCAACAATGGCCTGTTTTCATACGAATAATGCAGGAAATATATCTTTTATCCATGGCAGGTATATTCCAATGCCATGGCTTCATAGGAAAGTCTGGGTGGATTTTACAATTCATCTTTCCTTCAACTCGTATATCACTTTGCCATTTATTATAAAAGCTATTATTTATTGTTTTCTTTAAATGGGAAAAGAAGTTTTATTTGTCAATTTTTATATTCAATGGAACATTCAAAGTGGTACCTACTTTTGCTAATATATCAGCTTTTTCATCACCCTTAATATATTCATGACCTCAAATCCATGCAAATTCAAAGTTATGTTTTGATATTGTGGAAAATATAATATTTTTAATTGTTAAACCAATATGATCACCATTTACCTTTTACCTGAAAACCCGCATGTTTTATCCGTTCTAATGCACTCATAGAATCTGTGAGTATTAAGTTTTTCCTAGTACCCTTTTCTATGCAAGTTTTCATTCCTTGATGTACCTATGGCAATCACTTCTGCATCACAAATATCAATATACCTAATCTTTGATTCTAGCTGAGAATGCAAAGTCAAATTGTGGTATATTTATACCAATTCCCACTTTATCGTTGTTCTTTGAAGTATATCAGTAAAAACGAGAGTGTACTTTTCATATTTTTCTACAAAACTGAGACATTTTTTTCATTTTTTAGTTTAGTATCAATGATATCTACCTCTTATAAGTAAGTTTCGTAGTTAAAACTAAAATCTGCTTTAATATCATTGGTGTACAAATGTCTCGTTATTGCTTTGCAATTATGTAAGGCTTCCACCAAGTATGTACATTGTTTATTTTTCCAAAAACCATTATTGTTTTGATAATATAAAACTTGAATAATTTTTAGATGGTTCAAAAGATGGGGTTTGAAATCTAATATTTCCATCATAAATTTGTGCGTTAACCATTGTCTACGAGTTTCTAGATCGACCATACCTGCTTCTGCTAAAATTACATTCCGAGGTGTGGATTTCATACAACCTTAAATGATTCGAAGTCCCATAATATACGTTTTTTCTAATTTTTCCCATTTTTTTTTGTACACGGTCTGTATAAAATGGAGCTATAGTCCAAATGAGTTCTGACCAGCCCATTAAAGGCCATCAGCGTTGTCTTGGGATCCGCATCCCACCATGTTTTAATAATGTTAATACCTTTGTGAGCGCGACTAATTGCATTATCGACATTTTTATCCTATTTTAAATTAGATGAAGAAATAGTTCCCAAGTATTTAACCTCATTTTTGTCTGAATCCTATTATTGTCTATCATAATTTCTTGTGTTCCTGAAAAAGACCTACCTCTCTTAAATATTATACTTTCACAATTCCCTAGTGATAACTGTAAGTCGTGTTTTTTCATCCATGACTTTATGTTTGTTAATGTGTCATTCATTTTAGCTATAATGTTCTGAATATTTTGCCCCTTAAAGAGTATTAATATATCATCTGCATATGCAATTATTTTACCTATTGGTGGTATAATGTCAAACAATGAAATTAAGTAGGTATATATTGAATAGTAACGGGCTTAATGGTGACCCCTTCGTTAGTCCTTTCGAATTTATGAGTGGACCGTGTTCCATTCCGTTTTCATCAATTATGAAATTTTTATTATCATTAATTACTGTAAATATCAAATTCGCTAAAGCTGTTTCTATTCCATATTGTAGAAGATAAAAGCAGTACAGTCTGTTGTACCTAATCCTTTACGGAAACCTAATTGATGTCTTGATAAAATTTTATTATGTTCACACAGTACCATTCTAGTCTGAGTTTGATTAATTTTTCTAGGATTTTTAATCCACATGATGAGAAAGCTAATATACGTTATGAATTTGTTTCTATTTCTTCTATTGAAGGATTTTTTTAATGCCAATTAGTAAAAATTCCTTCCATGTTTCAGGTAATGTGTCACCTTTTAAAATGTCATTGTAGGTTTGGAGCAGTGATAGTTTAAGTTGCATAGGGGGGTGGAAAAACATGCTGTAGGGTATTCCATCTCTTCCTGAAGCAGTTACTTTTTTATATTTCAAACAAATTTTGAGCTCTACTAAAGAAAAAAGTTGAGATTCTTTGTTGACAGATTATGATTGAACTTCTGGATTTACATAATGCATGTTGCTCAAGCAGTTGGGTGGCTAATCGCGCATCTGGTGCATTATTTGACTCATATTTCTTAAGTCTCTCATCAGAAAAGCTTCTGATCATGTTCCATACATATGTAAGGTTAGATTCGCAATTTGGAGTGAACAAAAAATCTGAAAACTTTTTCTTTTCTTTTTAATCGTTTCGTGCTAGCTAATATTCTTTTAGCTTCTACGTAATTTTTTATCGTTGGGTCGTTTTTAAAAGTTGTTATTACTTGTTTCCTTGTAAAAACAGCTTGTGTGCATTCGTTGTCCTACCAGAGACTCCGAGAGCACTGCAACCGTTTTGGTTGATAAAAAGGTATAGTAGATTCAGTGTAATAAATGACCATCGGGTCTAAATTGGCTATCCCTATATACTACTAATGATATATAATAATCATCTCAGTTTACTCTCACCAGTATATGGTGTATATGGGTGTATATGGGATCGTTCAGCCGAAGGTATTTATTTTTTAATTTAGTTTGGTAGCGTGAGAGTTGCTGCTACCAGATCAGAAAAAGTTTGAAATCCGTCCTGATCACACGGATTGAGAATTAGTAGGCAACTTGGTCAACAGTTGATTTTTTTTTACCTTTTAATCTTCGTAGAGCACTGGCTTGGTTATGCCACCAATTATATCCTCAGATACTGAATTCGGCCACGGCTTAAATGCCTGGTCTTTTAGGGGTTTCAGAGAATGAAATAATATTAGCAGAGTTTTCACAAACCAACTTTATTGATGAGTAAAGACGGCGGAATAATCGGATTAACCATTGATAAAATAAAATGAACAAAAATTAATACTGAAGTTTAACCTACACAAAATAATATTGAAATTATTCTTTTATATATGTTTTACCGAACGTCCGATTAAAAAACTCCTTCATATGACCCTTAACGTCATGATAATGAATTGAATGATGAGGTTGGATGTTTCAAAATATCTAATTTCTTACCATCAAGCAGTTAATTTTAACGACTTTTACTTTAAATGGCTTGGCTCTGTTGACCTTAAGATCATTTCTGAAAGCTAATAAAGGTTCCTTTTTTATACGAAAACACATGTGTTTTGGTATCTGAAATTCAACGAAAAATAATATATCCAACTTATTACATCAGCATCCTCATTCATTAAAGAAGTTAATTCTTCATATGACCCCACAGCATAGTTTTCCACCTGCCCATACAAGTGTGAAGTATATGCATTCCAATCTGCTTTAGAATATATCCGGGTCTTTCTGTTAGTAGTTAGAGGTATATTTTCCATTATATCATTGTATCTGCAGACGGTGGGAGAGTGATCACTATTTCCACACTCCTCCAGTACCTCCTAATAGCATTCCACTGCTATATCATTGGACATTATGCATAAATCCAAAGGACTTGGGTTTTCAGAAGGGTTTGTAAATCTAGTATTTTTCCCGGTGTTTAAAATTACTTTGTTTTGGATATCTAATATTGTGTTTGATATATTAATATTACCATTATGATTACTTATGTTACTGCCCCACAAGGGGTGATGCGCATTTAGAACACCCATCCATATAGTTGTACCTTGAATCTGAATCATCATTAATGAAATCTCTTCGAAATTAAGCCTATTAGACGGGTTAATTATTATGTATTGAAATAATCTATAATTTTCATTGATGCTACGTAAAGTAATAAGAGGTAATAATAGTTAATAGGTACAATATTTTCAGATGAGGGTGTTTTAATTTTTAGATTATTCTTGGGTTTTAACCATGTTTCGTTCAACAAGATCACATGAGGCATGTGTTCTTTATAAGATTAAGTGAAAAATGATAATTTGCATAAATACTTCTTATGTTCCATTGAATGGGCTCATTTAACAATTTTTTTATTTCATTATTTGAAAGTTTATGTTTCAAATAGTATATCTGCAAAAAATCTGAAATTTCACTCTTCATCTTCCCCCTCAAATTAATACTTCTTCTTATGCTTAATTATGGTCCCATCTTCCAGGTGGCGCTATTATGACCAGTACTCTTTTTATTATATTAAAAAATATAATAAAAACTTTGTCCAAGGAGTGCAGAAGTCTTGCTTTACGCAATACTGCACCCCATTTTTATTATTCCAATTTATTATTATTGAAATGCACGTCTATCTACGGCGGACATATACATATATATAAATTTTACGTCTTTTTCATAAAAGATTATTAATTACAATCCGACCCCCACGTGGACATCCGGTCCACCCCGGCCTCCAACCGGCGTGAATGGGAGCACTATTT